TCTCTACGCCAGTGGGTACGCCCAGTGAGTGTACGCCGACTAACGTAGTGGGTACGACTCGGACGTGGGGACAAAAGCGACATCGTTTAGGACTCAGTGTCTTCACTAGGGAGACGTTACCTATTTTTGTAACTTTTTGATTATTTCGAGGAAGGTCTCTTATTATATAAGGGAGACCTTCACATTGTAAACAAGAGGATTGGGGAATAATGCAACTCTCTCATTATCTGACTCTCTCTCTCTATCTCTGTCTCAAACGAACATATTCTCTTGAGTTCATATTATCACTTTCTAATACTAGATCTACAACAATAACATCATTTTTACATCTCTAGCTCTACTATATTTGATTACGATTTACCCTTCCCTTACTTTCGATTGTTTTCTAGCTTACAAAGTACATTGTTAACTTTTGAGCCAAACAGTTCTCGCATCATATTCTTATCGAGAGAAGTCATGTATCACAGGTCGCACGATGAAGGCATACTTTTCTCATACAATTGGAAATCATGAAATTATTAGAAACATGTAACAGCCACAAAGTAGGCTTCTTATGACCGTTTTAGAAAGTCATGAACGGTCTAATTTCCAATTGAAATTAAACTTTCATCTGACATATCGCAAAACCCAACATCAATTACTAAGAAAACGTATAATAACTGAGGAATTCATCCAAGGGGTTGTAGCTCCTATGTCAAGATGCAGAGACGATTATATCGAGCGTCATATCGCAACATATAGAACTCCCTTCGGAAAACAATAAACTTGTACTCCCTTCGGTTCAAAATAAGTGATTTTTTGGCCTTTTTCTTGTGGTCCAAAATAAGTGATTTTTCCAGATTTCAAGAATGAATTAATTATTTTTTTCCTACATTGTCCTTGAAGTAAATGGTGTTGGAATATGTGTTAGGAGTGTTTATGTGAGATAGTAAAGGTTAATATGGTCAATTCTATTGTTAATTAATGTTAAAAGATGGATTTCTTAATTTGTATGAAAACATCCAAAAAATCACTTATTTTGGATCGGAGAGAATACTATTTCTTATTATTAGTGTCACTTTCAGCAAGGAAATACATTCAATCAATGCCCAAAAGTACTCTTAATAACATCATCATTACTTATATTGTTTTGACAAAAAGAAACTAGACTAGAATTAAAAAACAACACAACACAAAAGAAATGCATCAGCGTATCAGAAATATTATGAAAATTACTTTAGATCAATTAGACCATTTCAACCTGACTTTTAGAGGTATTATAATTAGACCTAGAAGCTCCAGCAGTGATCATATCATCATTATAAGCTGAAAAACCTGCAGATTTCTCAAGCCTATCACCTTGTCCCCAAATAGCATAAGCTTCCTCACCATGTGCAGCTTCATCTCCAATTTCCATGTCTTCCTCTGACATTCTCAAAGGCACAATGAGTTGCACCAAAAGACATATCAAACTTGTCATTACAACATTCACTACTACGATAAACAGAATCCCGAGAAGCTGAAGACCCATTTGCCTGAACCCATTGTGGATTTTTCCATCGCGAAGCCCATAGAAGAATCCATAGTATTTGTTGTAGTAGCCATAGAAAAGGTAACACAGTCTCGGGTTAGCAAAAAGGCCAGTTAGGATTCCTCCTAAGCTACCGGCTACTGCATGGGTGTGGAAGACAGCCATTGTGTCGTCCACTTTCTGAAGAAGCTCAGATTTCTTGTGGACAACCATCATTGTGAACCATGGAATAGAGCCTGAGCATAGTCCTATGATTATGGCTGCCCACCCTTGTACAACACCTACAAACAAACACAAGGGTAATAATGTAATTAGCCTGGATCAGCAGGGCAAATTTACAACCTTCGTAATGAGTCAAAAAGAAGTACACATATTCATATGAAATTTGCTAGAAAGAAATATGTAGATGTTGAATCAACAATGATGTACGCTCTTGCTCACGAATATGTTATTTTAGCTCAGACCGGGCTATCTCCAACAAAATACGAGTCTTGTAATCATAGGAAGAGAATCGCGGGGTCTGCAGCTAGCCCATGATATATACACCTAGAGTCTAAATTCCTAACCATGGATATTTTACAGTTTGTATTTGTTTTATTTTAAGTGATTAGAAAGTGCCCAAAAATGACAAGAATACATATATTTGGATTCAAATAAAATATTTAAACAAAACAAAAATTAGAGTAATTTCCAAGAACTAGTACTTTAATTAATTAAAGTTTATGTATTAATTACACAAGTAAACAAGTTCATCCCCATAATATTAATTTCTTTTGTCATAACATGTTGTGACTAACTTATTATTAATTAATACATATAAAATAAATCTAGATAATAGTAGCTCCCTAGGGGATGTAAACTTTTGAAAATCATGTTTTGTCGCAACATTGGCTAGCTCCCTCTGAAATTGAAAATGCTAATAAGTATACTAGTTTCGATGCCAAAGCATCTCAACTAAGTTGCAGCATAATTATCTAGATAAAATTAAAATAAATAGGTACCAGCAGCAGGAGTGATAGCAACTAAGCCAGTGATCATGCCCTGGACAGCACCAATAACAGAAGGTTTTCCAAAGAAGATGAGATCAAGAATGAGCCATGTTAACAAGCTGGTTGCAGCAGCAACATGTGTGTTTAACACTGCCAAGGATGCATCAATGCTGGCTGCATATGGATCTCCTCCATTGAACCCTGTCCACCCCATCCACAATAGTCCTGCCCCAGCCAACATTAGCAGGATATTGTTTGGTGGAAATCTCTCTCTGTCCTTTGTTGACCTTGGACCCACCTGCAATAATCATCATGGACAATCCTTTATTTGCAAAGAGTTAGAGAGCAATTTGTTACTAAGTGTAAAAGATAGATATTTGGTACACCAAAAGTATCCTCAAAACTTATGATTTAATTTTATACACAGTAGAACATTTCTGTGGCTACAACAACATATTATTAAGACTAAAATACAAAGTTTAAAATTTTTTCAAATATAGAAAATTGTCATTCTCTTTTAAACAAACTGATCAAAAAGAAAAATTGAGCTAAAATGAAACCTTGATAGTATAATTTTGTTTCTAATTTCTTATGTAATTTATTAATATTAATTAATCATATAAGTTGGAGAAGTGTATATAATTGATATGTTTTTTTTTTTGTTGTAAAATCCTATGATATCCAAAACTCACTAGCTCGACTAATTTAGATTCACCCAATTTAGGATATAATAAAGCGGAAACACTCGCTACCGAGGTTTTTTCCATTTCAAGGTCTCAAATTGAAGAGCTCTGGCAAAGGGTGGAGGAATCTCATCCATCTCACCGCACTCCTAATTGATAACATTATTATGGTTTGTAGGAAATATAATGTTGTAACCTTACCCAATAAGCAGCGGTAAAACCAGCGACTCCAGAAGACAAATGGATGACATATCCACCAGAATAGTCAATAATACCCTTAAGAGATAACCAACCATTAGTAGACCAAATGGTGTATGCTCCAATTGTATAAGAAAACGTTAGCCATAATGGAACAAATAGCATCCACGCATAAAAATTCATTCTTCCCAGCAATGCTCCCGCAATTAAAATCAAAGTAATTGCCGCAAAAACAAACTGGAAAAAAACCATAGTCGCATTTGGGAATAGCCCAAGAAATGCTTGCTCAAAAAGGTACTCTTGTTCCAACGCAACATCTACTTTTCCCCATATTGGTATAAGTTTCTCACCGAATGACAATCTGTATCCCCAACAAACCCAACAAACAAGAACACAAGCAAAGGCGTATAAAGCCATAAAAGCTGAATTTACTGCCCATTTTTTCTTCACTGCTCCACCATACAGTATTATAAGCCCTGGCACACTTTGCATACCCACTAGGGTGGCTGCAATTAGCTGCCATGCATTGTCACCTTTGCTCATCCATGGCGGGTTCGCGTCGTTTGGATTCAAGTTTGAAGGGAGCATAGAAAAGTTAAAAGCTGGAGGAAAAGGAGGAGGAGGAGCTAACAAACTCATCTTGATCAATTTCTTTTCCTTTGGGAGAACAATGGAATTAAACGTTGATGTTCATTTATGGATTATGACTGGATTATATAAAGACTATAGGATGGTGGACATGCTAGGAGAAGTCGAAAATAGTAAGAGTTGATTCTCACGACAAGCTGTAATTTCTACAATGGTAGCTTTCTTGTCAATTTTTTTTGTAGTTGATCTATGTCATTACTCGCTATATGCAGTCATTGGTCACTACGCTAAAGTCTGTAATATATTTAATACGGGTATTACAATGTTTTATCGGCAGTGTAACGACATTCGCAAGGAACTGTTTCAGCAGATAATAGAAGAGGAGCTGCCGCAACTCTTGATGCCTTCGTTGTTTATTATTACTACTACTCCTAGTATAATGATCCGTGCATATTGTATTGAAACCAAAAATAAAAATCACACAAAAATATGATCTTGCTCGTTTGAGCATATTAACTTATTAAGTATAGTAGTTATATCCACTTGCCAAATTCATATTGATTTTTTATGTATTATTTTAAATAAAAACCATATTAGAAAGAAAACTACTCCCCAATCTGAATCGAGAGTTTTTTTTTTTCTTAATTGTAAGTTAAATTCAGATTTTAAACTTTTATCTTTCAATTTATTTTTTATATCATTGCAATATAAAAATTTTGTTTACCAACTCAAGTTCAAATGCAGATAAGAGATTGTTATGATATCGTAAAGTATGCTCTAAAATTAGACGTTTGAATTGATTTGGTTAAAAATGCTAGCTCATGGGGGGGGGTAGG